GGATTAGTATCACAAAGCCTGGAATACTTTGACACACACACCTGCTCCCCAGCCAGCCCTCCAATGATGCAGACCCCACTGACAATTGAAACTGTAACCACATGAGACCTGGAGTCAGAGCCACCCAGCTAAGCTATTTCTGAATTCTTTATCCACACACACTGTGACATAATAAACATTTATTGTTTAAGCCATCCTATTTTAGAGTTATTTGTTAAACAGCAATAGACAATTAATACAGAGACCTAAACAAATAGAGATATATATACCATGTTCTATATTAACAAAATGTCAATTCTCCCCAAATAGAGCTATAGAGTTAATACAATCCCAATCAAAACCCCAGTAAGCCTTTTTGTAGAAAGTCACGAGCTAAATCTAAATACATGAAGAACTACATAATATCTTAAAGAGCCAAAACAATGTGAAAAAGATAAACCAAGTTGGAGAATGTACAGTACTTGATCTCAAGACATTATAAAGGTACAACAATCAAATCTGTGGGATATCAGCACAAGGTCAACGAATAAAATAGAGAATCCAGAAATAGACCCACTCATGTACATTAATTGATTTCCGTTGTTTTTTTTTTAATCCTCACCTGAAGATATATTTTTCTATTTATCATCAGATAGAGTGGGAGTAAGGGAGAGAGAGGGAAAGAGAGAAACATCAACTCGAGAGAGAGACATCGACTGGTTGCCTCCCACACCACCCGACCAGGGCCAGGGACAAACCACAACCAAGTTATGTGCCCTTGACCAGAATCAACCCCATGACTCATTGGTCTGTGGGCCGATGCTCTAACCACTGAGCCAAACCAGCCAGGGCCATCAGTTGATTTTCAACAAAGGTGTTAGGTAATACAATGGAGAGAGGATAGCCTTCAAAAAGTGGTGTTGGGCCCTGGCCAGTTTGGCTCAGTGGTTGGAGTGTTGGCCTGCGGACCAATGAGTCAAGGGTTCGATTCCAGTCAAGGGCATGTACCTCAGTTGCAGTTCGTCCCGACCCTGGTCAAGTTGTGCAGGAGGCAACCAATCAATCTGTCTCTCTCATGTCGATGTTTCTCTCTCTCTCTCTCCTTACTCGCACTCTATCTGATGATAAACAGAAAAAATATCCTCAGGTGAGGATTAATAAAAATAAAAAAAAGGGGTGTTGGGACGACTGGACATACACATGGAAAACAATGACCCTTGGCTTCTACTCACACCATGAAAGAACACACAAACCATAAAGGGAACAACTGACAACTAGACTTCATAAAAATTAGAAGTGTCTGCTGTTCAAGACACTGGTACAAAATTATCAGACCAGCCAGACTATGAGAAGAGTGGCATCCTTTCTTCTTCTTCTTCTTCTTTTTCTTTTTTTTATCCTCACCTGAGGATATTTTTCCATTTTTTGTACAGATAGAAAGAGGAAGGGAGAGAGAGAGAGAAACATCGACGTGAAGGGACACATCGAGTGGCTGCCACCCGCACAACCAACCAGGGCCGGGGACAAACTGCAACCGAAGTACGCGCCCTTAGCGGAAACCGAACCCGGGTCTCTCCGGACCACAGGCCGACGCTCTAACCGCTGAGCCAAACTGGCCAGGGCTCTTCTTCTTCTTTTTTTCTTCTTGTTAATCCTCACCCAAGAATATTTTTCCATTCATTTATAGATAGTGGGAGAGAGGGAGGGAGAGTGATAGAGAGGAGGGAGGGAGAATAGGAGAGAAAAACATGATGTGAGAGAAACACCTCAATTGGTCACCTCCCACACGACCCCCACTGGAAAATGGTTTGGCACTTTCTTTTTTCTTTCCCTCTATTGATTTTATTCATTTATTTTAATTTTTTTTTCTTTATTGATTTGAGAGAGAGAGGAAGGGAGAGGAAGAGAGAGAAGAGAGAGATAGAAACATCAATAAGAGAGAACATTGATTGGCTGCCTCCTGCATGCCCCCCACTGGGGATTTGCCCCACAACCTGGGCATGTGCTTTGACCAGGAATCAAACTGGCAGCCTCTTGGTGTATGGGTGGATGTTCAACCACTGAGCCACCCTGGCCAGGCTCAGAACTTTCTTAATAAAGTTAACCACACACTTCAATCCATCCTTTCTTATCATTTCAGACCAAGAGAAATAAAGCTCATGTCCACACAAAGACTTGTGTGCATGAATGCTCAGAGCAGCTTTATTCTCAACAGCTGAACACTGGAAGGAACCACAGATGTGTGCACAGATGAAATGGCTGTACACCTGCACAATGGAACACTCCCACTCAGCAAAACGGAGGATGAGCTACGCATACAGACAACCACCTGGCTTTCCAAACATTAAGGCAGGGAAAAGGAGTCAGACACCAAGGGTTTGTGGTGTGATTTCATTTACGTGAAACTCTACAAGGAAGACTCTAAATATACAGGAGAAAGCAGTGCAGTGGTTGCCAAGGCCTGGTGGAGGACTGACCACAGCAAACTTCAGGGGTGACAGAAGGCTCTACACCTGGATTGCAGCAGTGTTAACAGAATGAACAAAACTCTCAAAATCCACCAAGCAGCCCTGGCTGGTTTGGCTCAGCGGTCAGGGCATCGGCCTGCGGTCCAGAGACCTGGGTTTGGTCCCCGCTAAGGACATGTATCTCAGTTGCAGTTTGTCCCTGGCCCTGGTTGGGTCGTGCATGTGGCAACCACTTGATGTGTCCCTTTTACGTCAATGTTTCTCTCTCTCTCTCTCTCTCTCTCTTCCTCCCACTCTATCTGAACAAAAAACGAAAAAATGTCCTTGGGTGAGGATAAAAAAAAAAAAAAATCCACCAAGCAGGCATTCCTTCTCCATGGTGCAAACTTTCCTGCACCTCTCTGCCCCCTTTCTCAGCCTGCTGTGCTGGCAAGGTCCTGCCCAAGGCCACGGAGCTGGAAGGGGTGGGGGAGGTTTGCTCTCTCCCTTCCAGCTCCATGCAGGAGTTCAGTGTGGTGGGAAGGTGGTGGGATGGGGCCAGGGGCAGAGGAGGGAGGATTTCAGAGTGTGTAGAAGAATCAGATCAGTCACTCTGGCTAAGGTGCCAAGGGTGAGGGCAAGGGGCTGAGAAAAAGCCAAGGTCACCAGGGGCTGCTGCTGCTGCAGCCCAGCTATTTGGATGAAGGAATGGACAGGAAGTGCCACGATCAGGGCTACTTAGGCGGAAGTTTTGAGAGAGCCAGGAGGTGAGGGAAGAGCCTGGAACTCCCCCTCAGATATCCTGCTTTGCTAACTGGCAGACTGTGGCAAGGGTGCTGGGGTGGGGCACTCTTGGGCAGATATGGTATGCTGGGTCACCAAAGGTTCACCTGAGACTCAGATTCCAAAACTACACAGTGAACAGTCTGCTGGTAGACAACAGAGATTCAGAAATCCCTAGAATACAGACCCCAACATGAGCTCACAGACTCAAGAGCTGCTGGCCTAGGTGCCCGCCAATCCAGGCACCCTTCCAGGGATAGCGGAGTCCAGACACATCCCAACAGGTGAGGTATGGGGCTAGGATGGACCAATGGAGAGCGAGGGGAGGAGTGTCCAGTCAACATGGAAGAAATGCAGCCCAGGTATCAGGAGGGCTCCCCATCCTAGCTCTGACCTGCACACATCCATCACAAGCAGGATGGCCTCTGTGCATGCTCTTTCAGGCAGCTTCCAGTCCCAACCGCAGCTCAGCTCCAAGCTGGGGCTCCTCTTGGTGCCCTTGAACTGGGGAGGTGGCAGAGCTAGGGAGGTATCGTCACACTCCTCCCAGGGAAATTTCAAGCCTGCCAGGGGAGCACCTGGCTACAAAGACAGAGACTGAGAGCAGTGTGGTGGCCCCACTGCCACTACCACCCCCAAGTTAAGGGTCCAAGGAGAAAAGGCAGGCAGAGCTCTGGGGAGGGCCACCACTCTTTCTGTGGCTTCCCTAAACCTGGGATGACTCCAGAAACATCTCCCTCTCTGCAGCCATGGAAATGAATCCCAGGGTCACCTCAGCCTCTGCTCCAGGACAGCAGGGGTCCACACCACCCCAAAACTCCCTTCCAGGCCAGGGGCACCTCCTACACAGCATAGGGCCAAGCACTTTCAACACACTACTTAGTACTTCTCACTTTGACTCCAGTCTTGAGGTGGAGCCCCGGATCCCCACACTGTAAGTGAGGTCATTCAAACCCCTGAAAGTTTAAGGAACTTGCCCCAGGGAGGCTCCAGTTTCTTCTCTGGCCCAACTCCAAAGCCCACACAAAGCCTGGGCAAGTCACGTCTCTGTGGGCCGTTTCCTGGGCTGAAAATGGAGATCATTCTAGTGCTGGCCAACAGGTTGCAAGAATGAAAACAATTCCCACCGTAGGTAAAACAGGAAAAGCTCTTCCGGTGCCTTCAGGGGCTATCACTTCTGGAAGCCATCCCTGACCCTTAGCACCCTAACCCTGGGCCTCTTCCACCAGCGCCCAAAGGGGGCCTGAAGACACTCCTATCCCCGCCTCTGTGAGTGCTGCCCAGTATGGGATTCCCTGGTGGCCCCCCATCTGGGCCCTGCCTCCTCCCCCTCTCAACCGGGGCTTATCTTCCTCTATTCCTTTCAGATCAGCTCAGCCTCCCTACAGGCCTCCTCTGTCCCAGGGGGCCCAGCCTTCTCTGTCCCGGGGGAGGGGGGGAGCCCGGCCTCCTAGGGGGGGGCTGCCTCCTCTGTCCCCAGGGGCCGGGCCTCCTCTGTCCTCGAGGGGGGGACCCGCCTCCTATGTCCGGGGGGGGGGAACCCCAGCCTCCTCTGTCCCTGGGGGCCTGGCCTTCTCTGTCGGGGGAGGGGGGGTGGCCTCCTCAATCCCGGGGCGGGGGCCGGCCTCCTCTATCTCCGGGGGCCCGGCCACCTCTGTCGGGGGGGGGGGGAGCCGGCCTCCTCTGCCCTGGGGGGGAGCCGGCCTCCTCTGTCCCCGGGGGGCCCGGCCTCCTCTGTCCCTGGGGGCTCGGCCTCCTGTCCCCCCGGAGGCCCCGGAAGTCCGAGCTCACCTTCCGCCTCGCGCAGTCGATCGGATCCGGTCCACCGGTCTGTCAGCCCCGCGCTCCTCCAGGCGCCGCAGGGGCGGGCCCCCGCGCCGGGCCCTTGCCATGGCAACGCTACACTTCCGGCTGCGCGGCCCGGAGCCGGAAGCCGCGGCGCCCCGTGGGAGCCGGGGGCGGGGCCTGCCCAGAGCCGCTGGCGGACTGTGCCGTGTGACCCTCTGGGGCGCCGGCTCCTCGGAGGGGATGGGCTCGGGTGCGGCGGGAAGGGCGGGTAGTCAGAAGCTCCCGGGAGGGTGGTCATCTGTTTAGGCCGGGCTTTTCAGGAAATGTCACAGTTCAGCCGACAAAGCAGAGGCACCACGCGCGGAGGGAGCAGCATGCTTGGAGGTGGAAGGACCAGTGCACTGGGGGCATGGGAAGCAGTGGGGTGATGGTTTAGGAGTGGGGAGTGTGTCAGAGGTGACTGGTCAGGACACAAGGAGCTAGGCTTTATCCTGGAAGCAAGGAGGACCAGTGGAGAAAAGCAGGTGTTAAGATGCGAAGGAGAAAAAGACATCTTTGCTGACCTAGTGGGGCTAGGAGGCCATAGGTAGTAACAGCCGGTGAGACACAAGAAATCCTTCAACTAGAGCCCTGGGAATAGAAAGGAGTTGAGAAGGTGACGAGTTCAGATGAAGTCTGAAGGGAGAGTCTGAGGTAGTGGGAACAGCTTGGTACCCTACATGCACCATCCATCTTGCCCAGGCTTCCTCCTCCAGTGCACCCACCACTCAACCCTTCCCTTGGTGCCTTACCATGCTCCTATGGCCTCCCTGGGGCCTGGGGGCCCTGGTACCAACACTAGCCACCACTGCCAGTAATATACCCTTGGACAAACTTGCCTGCTGTGTGAGGAAGGGAAGCGGGAGGAACCTGGACTTTGAGTCAGGGTACAAGCCTTGACTGACTTGAGGGGCAGAGCCACAGATCAGATAGCAAGGGAGGACAAGATGAGGGGACAGAAGAGGGTCTGGGAGTTAAGAGGACTGGTGAGTCTTTTGAGTAGCTGCCAGAGGCATTTGCTAGGACCATGCCTGTGGGTCAGGTCCCGTCCCTGCTAAAGCCCTCAGAGGGGACCAGGTTTGTGCAGTGGGTACTGGCCCCTCAGGCTTCACTTGCCTGAGCCTCCACTACCTCTCCTAGAGTGCCCCTCCTCCACTCAGGACAGCCCCCACCATCCTGGAGAGCATTTCCTCCTTCTAGACTAGTGGTTTTCAACATTGCAAGAGGAACACTGGTGTGCTGCAAGAATTTTAAAAACATGCAATACCTGACTATTTAGAGGGGAGCACTGACCTCTTTTCCCTTAGATTGTCAAATAAATATATGACAAGAGCCAACACATCGCCCTGGCTGGTTTGGCTCAGCTGTTGGAGCGTCAGCCTGTGGACCAGAGAGTCCTGGGTTCGGTTGCCGCTAGGGGCACATACCTCCCCCACCCACCCCCCAAAAAAAGAGCCAACACAACAAGAGCCTTCTGGTGTGAATCAAAATTATACTTTTTTTTTTTTTCCCCCTTTGGTCAGCTTGGCAAAAAATACATTTTTTGGTGTGCTGCAGAATTTTAGTAATTTGTGTGTGCTGTGAGATGAAAAAGATTGAAAAGCACTGTTCTAGAATAAGCCGAAGGGTGCTGTGGCTGCCTGGGAAGTCCTTCCTGTACACCAACACAATACACTGTACTCAGTTCCACTCAGCGTGACGCCAGGTGGTCCTTGAGAACTCCCCTGGAGAGGGACTAGGAACCATGGAACTGTATTCTTAAAGTCTGCCCTGAGAAGTAGCCAGTAAAAACCCTAGAACTGGGACTTCTTCCTCCATGAACACCAGCCCAGGGGTACTGCCCAAGTGCCCACAAGGAATGAGAGGCATCCTTCCCAGCAGGGGCAACCCCCAGAGCAGGAAAAGAAGACTGAGGCAAGTCTGCCTCCAAGAAGTCCTCTGCAGCCAGACAGGTTCAGTTCACCCAGGGCCAGTGAGGTGCAATTAAATAATGAGGGCAGTCAGCTTCAATGACCAACTGTTGACAAGCACCAAGAGGGGAGGAAAATGGTCTTCAGGGCCTGGGGAGCCCACTGAGGCAGACCCTGGGAAAAACCCCTTGAATCAACTGTGTCCCTCCTTTTTTCCTGAGGTTTCCTCCAAGAAGCCCTCCAACCCACCAGTCAGGTCCTTCCAGCTGCTTGGCCTTGAACTTTTCTTGGCAGTTTAGCTAGGGAAAATCACTTTCCTGTCTGTTAAATGGGAGACTGAGACCCAACTCAGATTGATAAAATATCCATGGATCACGGATCCCTTCCAAGTGCTTTTCCTTCCAGCTTATAGGGGGTGCCAAAAGCAGCCCAGGGTGAGAAATAAGGCCTGGGTGGCCACCAGCAACCCCCACTGGAATCTTCCCCGCCCCTCCCTTCCAGATTAACTGAAACCTGCTAATTGTGGCAGCCCCGTCCTCTGCATGATCCCCTCCCCCACGGCTGTATTCCACCCTCCCTTTGCCTCCCCACCCCTCCCCCTTCCATCCGAATGATAAAGGGCCGGGCCTTCCTGCCCCCACCCGGCCTCAGGCTCTGGCCCTTCCTCACCACATTGCCCTATTGCCCTGCGCCCTCAGCCCCCGCCAGGCCCCTGCCCACGTTGCCGGCCTCCCCTTAATGGGGCCCGGCAGCAACCCACGCTTGGGGCTCCCCAGGACAGAGTCGCCCTCCCAGCCCCCCAAGAGGAGGAAGAAGAGATACCTTCGGCATGACAAGCCCCCCTACACCTACTTGGCCATGATTGCCCTGGTGATCCAGGCCGCACCTTCCCGCAGGCTGAAGCTGGCCCAGGTGAGAGAGTCCCCGCTCTCCCTCACACTCCGCAGTCAGACCTTTCCCCAGATCTGACCCCCACCTACTCCCAGGCTTAGGCTCCGGCCTCCATCACCACCTGGCCCTACCCAGCTATGCCAGTGGGGCCAGTTCCTATCTGGGCACCAGAAGAGAGAGCTGAGATGCTCAGAAGAACCCTTCCCAGTGAGGTGCCCTCTGCTCCCTCTGGTGCACAGGTGTTGGGGGTGCAGAGGCTCCCCTAAGCCTGGCTGTGGGGGAGGGGCGATGCTGCCCCATCCGCGCCTGGGCTCACAGCGCCTGCCGTCTGCCTGGTGGTTTCAGATCATCCGTCAGGTCCAGGCTGTGTTCCCCTTCTTCAGGGACGACTACGAGGGCTGGAAGGACTCCATCCGCCACAACCTCTCCTCCAACCGATGCTTCCGCAAGGTGGGGCAGGGTGAGGGTCCGAGCTGGAGCCGGGGGCGGGGTGGGAGTGGAAATCCCGAGTATCCCGGGTCCGGCGGCCCCACCAAGCCTGCCCCCACCACACACACACCAGGTGCCTAAGGATCCTGCGAAGCCCAAGGCCAAGGGCAACTTCTGGGCAGTCGACGTGAGCCTGATCCCGGCTGAGGCGCTGCGGCTGCAGAACACGGCCCTGTGCCGGCGGTGGCAGAGCAGGGGCGCAAGGGGGGCCTTCGCCAAGGACCTGGGCCCCTACGTGCTGCATGGTCGGCCCTACCGACCACCCAAACCTCCCAGTCCGACCAGTCCCCAGCTGCCACCCAGCGAGGGCTTCAGCATAAAGTCTCTGCTGGGGGACCCCAGAAAGGGAGCACCACCAAGTAGCCCAGGTCCAAAGGGTCCCCTTTCAAGTAAGGAGGAGGTGGGGCCTACATCACCCCTGCCCTCTGAGAGGCCTCTGTGGCCCCTCTGCCCCCTCCCAGGGACCATGAGAGCAGAGGGGGAAACTTCCCAGCGAGTGACCAGCAGGCCCTCACCCCTCTCCCCTGAGCCCAGAGCCTGGCCCCTCCACTTACTGCAGGGTACCCCCAACCCTGGGGGGCTGTCTGGTGGGGGTCACAGGGCCTCACTTTGGGGGCAGCTACCCACTTCCTACTTGCCCATCTATACCCCCAATGTGGTAATGCCCTTGGCCCCACTACCACCCACCTCCTGCCCCCAGTGCCCACCCTCAACTAGCCCAGCCTACTGGGGTGTGGCCCCTGAAACCCACACCCCCCCAGGGCTGCTCTGGGATCTAGATGCCCTATTCCAGGGGGTGCCGCCCAATAAGAGCATCTATGATGTGTGGGTTAGCCATCCCCGGGAACTGGCTGCCCCCACCCCAGGCTGGCTACTCTCCTGGTACAGCCTGTGAGGCTCCAGGGCAGGGGCTGCTGTCCTCTCCCACCCATACCACCCCCTCCTACTGCCACTTGCCTCTTAAGAGGAACCAAGGCCAAGAGGACCAAGAAGTGTGGCCACAGCAGCTTTGAAACACCAGGCGCCAGCCATTCTGAGAGTTCACAATGTTTATTGGACTACCCCACAGAGGGTTGTGTCCACTTGGGTACCACCCTGGCCCTGATGGTCAGTGGGGCCTCTGCTACCCCCAAAAGCAAGGCTGGAAGGAGTGGTGCTGCTTGGAGTAGCCTTTCCTGTCCCCTTCCTGGTCACACCTTCTCTGGCCCTCTGTCCATCCATCCATCCATCCATTCATCCATCACCATCTGCCACCTCCCCTCTCCTGGCTCCGGGTTGGGGGAGGGAGAACTTAATTGCAGCTCCAACCTGAAGTCTGTCCTCCCTCAACTGTCTGGGAAGGAGGTAGCACCTTTTTGGGACAAGGCATAGGGAACAGGGACCCTACCTGGTGGTGGTGGTGTAGTGGAGGAAATAACAGTAAAGGAATGGACCACATTTTAATTCCAAGTCTGATATTTGATGGCGGGGTGGTGATTGTGGTGACTCAGAAACCATTATACCAGGCCAGGCTGCTCTGGGATCCCCTGCTGCGTGAGGTGATAGCAGCAAATGGTGATAAGGAGGGAGCTGAGGGCCTGGGCCGAGGGGCGGGCAATTGTTGCAGAAAAGGTGGGGGTGGGGGAAACAACTCAGGGACTTTGGGGACCAGTGAGCCCCCAGAGGTCAACAAGTTTGGGGGAGTGCAGAGATTTTGCTGCCTCTGCCTGCAGAGGCACGACCCCAGGCTCCTTGCGCTGGACTAAGAGAGCAGGTCCTCTTGGGGCACTAGAGCCGAGCTGGAGCCACTGTCGGGGCCTGGGCTTGGAGGACTGCCCGGGGATGGCGTGGGGGTACAGGGAGTTCCAGTGAGTGGTGTGTCTGTGCTGAGGGAGGAGGGCGTCCCAGAGCGCCGGGCCCTACGGCGCCGAGCTGGCCCCAGCTCCACTTGGCCCACTCGCTCAGCGAACTTGAGCGAGCACACGGTCTCACCTAGGTCCTCTGGCCGAGTGGAAATCTAAGGGGGAGAAGCACTGATGGGCGGTGCCTGGCATGCAAGCCACCCTCCCCTGGGCCCTGAGCCCCGCCCCACGCCTGCACCACGGGTGCCCACCTGCAGCAGCAGCACCGCGGTGGCGCCAGGGCCGAGCGCTGGCTGAAGAAGGCGCGTGAGCTGCGAATCGCGGAAGGGCACGTGTGCCCGGCGGGAGCGCAGGGCAGTCATCACGCCTCCCAGGGCCAGCAGCGAGCGGTTGATCGTCCTGGCCTCCCGCAGGCGCTGGGCGTCATCAGGGTCTCCTCGTGCCCTGCAGACACCTCCTGCCTTCCAGGCACGCTCTGATCCCGCCAGGTCCACCAGGTGCAACGTGCCTTCAGGGGCAAGCGAGCATGAGCGTTGGGAACTCCAATGTCCCACGCAGAAAGGCTCTCTGCGAGGGGCAGGGTACCCCATGGTACCTGTGGTGCCTGAACCTCGTGTTGAGGACGCTGCTTGCAGCGTCAGCGTGACCAGGGCATGTGAGCGGGAGCTGTGCTGGTTCATGGCGGTGGCAGCGGTGGCCCGGTTGCTCCTCCCCAGGCTCAGCATCTGGAGGATGCAGAGGTTTGGCCTACTATAGAGTCCAAGTTCCCAGGTGTGAACACAGGGTAGAGCCTTGGAGGGCTGCACAGCCCACTGGGCAGCCTTACCTGGTGCAATGTCTCCAGGTTGGGCACGTCCCAGTATGTGAGGCCAGCCACTTGGATTCCTCCCTGGCCTGCTGGGCCCTGCCTCACCGCCAGGCGCTCAGGGGGTCCTGGGGCTAGGAGGTCCCTGGTGAGAAAGGTGAGGGCTTAGTTCAGGGGTTCTTGGTGGTGGTGGAGGGGGGCAGAAGGACACCAGGAAGCAGCTAGGGTGCCACCCTGACCTGACAGCCTCATTGTAGATCTCCACCATGCTGAGGGTCACTTGGTGCTGCCCTCCAGTCCTCATCTCCCGGAACAGTGACTGCAGTGCCCTAGGAGCTATGCCAGGGTCCTCAGGTGGGCCCTGGAGACGGGGTGAGGTGCCACATTGGGCTCACATCCCAGCCCCTGGCCCCAGGAGACACCCAGAGCAGGCCCCTCCTTCCCACCTCCATGCTGTAGGTCTTCCCGGTCCCAGTCTGACCATAGGTGAAAATGCAGACACTGTAGCCTCTGAGACAGGACAGCACAGCGGGCTCCAGCTCCCTGAAGACCTAGGGATGTGGGGGGAGGGGTCCTGAGCACTGGAACTAAGGCAAGGTGTGAATAAAGCTTGATTTCCCTGGAAGGGTGGCTCTGGGCTAAGTAAGTCCCCTGGGAGGGTGGGTCTCCTGCCAGGCAGAGGAAGGTCTCCTTCCTGGAGAAGGTCACATTTGCAAGAACTTGCCAGGCAAAGGAAGGGGCGTGACAAACAGGGAACAGGCATGCAAACTACTGGAGTTCTAGAGACCACTTGTGAGATGCCAGGGGATTAGTAGTTAAGAGCCCAGACCCTGGGCTCACTGCCAGGTTCAAACCCCAGGGCGATTGCTGAGGTTTCCCCTCACAGGAAGCCAGGACTATAGTGGCACCTGTTGTGAGGGTTAAAGGGGAATGTGTGCCCAAAGGGCTACAGCAGTGCTCTCCACACAAAGGATGAGCCCAGAAAGGCCCCATGGGTAGGGTGTGGGGATGGTGGCCCACCAGGGTTGCTGGGCCCTGGGAAGGTACAGAGAGGAGGCTGAGGGAGAGGTAAAGCTGGGATTTGTGTCCTGTTGGCAACTGCACACCAAGAGCAGCCTATTGAGCAATGGTATGGCCAGTTTTCATGCACAGACCAGTAACTGCATGAGCTGTCAGTTCTGCTGAAAGTGTTGGCTGCCAGCCCTGAAAGCAGAATCCAGAACTGCAATTTAATCACTAAGATTCCATGACTGGAAGGAAGCACTGGGGGTGGCAGTGGTATCATTGCAGACATGCAGAACACTGATGCCTTTCGTTCTTTCCTTCACTCAGATATGCTGAACTGTAGGTTTCTGTGAGGTACAAGCCTCCCTCTCACCCCCCCCGCCGGGGGCTGCTGTTTAGGGTGGGACTGAGGCCTGGGTAGTGTATCAGGTAAACTGAGTTAAGTGGGAAACAGCTGTGGTAGCCTAGGAAGTGGGGGAGGGAAACCTGGCCACCATCTAAAGCCAACAGGAATCTGATCCTCAGCCTGATCTAATCCCATCCTAGGTCTACCTCCATTTCCTGAGCTATGGGAGCTCCAGCAGCAAAATTTGTGTGCAACAGATGGTGTGTGTAGAGCAAGGTGGTGGTGGGCTAGGTTAAGCCTTTGCTTCTCCGATGGGTCTGGCAGGAAAGAGGAGGGGGTAACGAAGGCTGGCACTGCACAGGACAACAGAGAGCACTGAGGCTGGAGGCTCCCACGCTCACCAGTGCCCCACTCTGCGTCCTTGGCCACAAAGCAAGAAGGGGTGCCTGTCCTCACAGCTGGCAGACTCAACCCCGGCCCACAGAGTAGGCAGCCAGTGCAGTCACAGCACTGTCCCCACCCCAGCAGCACCCCAGCTATTCTCCCGAGCCAGGTCTGCATGAGCAGTGATCATCACCTCAGACAGATTAATTTTTCTTAATCTTTACCTGAGGACATTTTTGCATTTATCTTCAGATAGAGCGGGAGGGAGAGAGGAAGAGAGACACATCGACGTGAGAGAGACACATCAACTGGTCGCCACCCACATGACCCCAACCGGGGCCAGAAACAAACTGCAACCAAGGTACGTTCCCTTAGCTGGGACCAAACCCAGGACTCTCTGGTCCGCAGGCTGACGTTCTAACTGCTGAGCCAAACCAGCCGGGGCTAAAAAATTGGTTTTGAAAATGTTAACCTTGATGTCTAAACCAGATCTGTTTCCCCGAGGCCTGAAAAGCTTGATGAGGTTACGCAGAGGAAAACCCTGAAGGAATGGAGGTGCCCAGCTCAGCTTCCAGTCCTGCCTTCCAACCCTCCTTCCCTTCCCTGCTAGACTCTAAGCACTCTTGCTCCTAGGAGGGCAGAAGGACTGGGAAGGGGAACCAGAGCCTCTGGGGAATCTGAGGGAGAGTCAACACAGGTGTAAGGGTGGAGCATCACCTCTTCCTGGCTGGCATCTGGAGGAAAGACCCAGTCCAGGCGGAAGCGACGCCGGTGCCCTCGATAGCAGGTGGTGACAGAGCCGTCCAGGCCAGGCTCTGAGCTCACCAGGCTGGAGGGTGTCCCTGGCCTCAGCCGACATAGCACACGGATATTTCCTGGGGTGAAGATCAGGTCAGTGGGCTGCCTCCTAGGCCCTGAGGACAGGGTTCCTTTTGCCTGTCCACCACCCCTCTGCTCCCCAAGCAGTCATACCCTTGAGCTCCAGTATCCGCCCTGGGCATCCAGGTGGGGGCCCCTGCTGCTTCTCAGGGAGCTGAGGCCCAGCCTCACTGACTGACAGTGCCCCCAGGGCCCAGGATACCTGGCGGAACAGGGATGTGAGCAAGGCAGTAAGGAGCAGCCAAGGGGTGGTGGGGTGGGGTGCTGAGGGCAATATGGAGCCACTGTGTGGTAATCCACAACTTTCAGTGGCTTCAAGCCCCTGGGGGCATCATTCAGTGGGCCCTGGATGGAGCCCACTAATCGGGAGGACTGTGGACAAGGATGCCATCTGTCTCTGGGCTTCTTGACAATCCTGTAAGGGGCTCACTGTTACCCCAATTTGCACAGGACAAAAATGAGACCTAGAAGTGAGGTAACACCTTGGGTCACAGAAGCTGTCCTGGTTCTAGAACATACAACCTCCACTAGAGCAGGTAGCTCCCTGGGGCTGGGAAGGGAGAAAGGAGGGGTTCCCCAAGGGAAGAACCCAGTGATTGGGCTGCCCAGAGAGCACACACTGGAGAAGGAGCAGGTGGTCCTGACCTGGCCCCGGGCCTCATTCAGTGAACCCTGACAGCTCTGGGTAAAGGTGCTGACCAGGCCTCGGAGATCCCCACAGCCCTGACGTAGGCTGGCCATGCGTGCCCGAAGTCCTGGTAGGGGAAGGTGGTTGTGAGGGAAAGCCCAAACCCTGTGGTATTCCCATTAGCCCCCCGCCCCAGGTCTTACCTGCCAGCTGCCTGTGCACCTGCTGCAGCTCCCTTCTGCAGCTTTGCTCCGTCTCCTGCTGGAGCTGCCGGAGGGCCCCCCGAAGGCCCTGCAGCTGCACCTCCTGCACCCCCAGCTGATCCCCCCCCCCCCCCGGTTACTGAGGAAGCAGGCACTTACCAGGCCTTGCCTCAGGTGTCCCCCTCCCAGTGTCTCAGTCTTCCCAGACTGGGCCCAGTACCCACCTGGACTTGGAGGGCTTCTGTGGCATTCTGGGCCTCCCGAAGCTGGCCTTGGAGCTCTACCAGTGCCTCTGCCTCCTCCTGCAGGAGAGATGGGAGCCATGTAAGTTATGAAGCCAGGAGGAAACTCAGGGAGTGGCATTCTAGCAGCCCCATTTTACACAAGTGGAAATCAGGTTAAGAAGAAGAGATAAGCCCTGGCCGGTTTGGCTCAGCGGTTAGAGCGTCCGCCTGCGGTCCGGAGAGACCCGGGTTCGGTTCCCGCTAAGGGCATGTACCTCGGTTGCAGTTTGTCCCCGGCCCTGGTTGGTCGTGCGGGTGGCAGCCACTCGATGTGTCCCTTTCACATCGATGTTTCCCTCTCTCTCTCTTTTCCTCTCTCTCCCTCCCACTCTATCTGTACAAAAAATGGAAAAATGTCCTCAGGTGAGGATTAAAAAAAAAGAAAAAAAAAAAAAAAGAAGAGATAAAACAAGTCATGAATCCATGCAGGGCTTTTCCGAAGTCCCTTGCTCTCCTAGGGTAAGTCACTTGGAGGAACCATGGTGTGTGTGTGTGTGTGTGTGTGTGTGTGTGTAGGGGGGGTGTTCTCCCATGGCTATCAGTCTCCTCAATGCAGCTGCCCTGGGCCTGTCCACAGTTCTAACCCTGGAAGGTCATAGAGAGCCTCTGCCTCTGTTCCAGAGAGCACCAGGTCCTGAGGCAGCAGGGGCAGTGTTGCTGGAGACCAGGAACCCCAGACTCCAAGGACAGGAGCAGCTAAGAAGTAGAATACCTGGGGGGCTCTGGTAGAGAAACCAGGACTACAGTGCTTCAGGAGCTCCCCAGTGAAGATCAGGCACTGTTTCAGGGCTTCTTTCTCCAGGGTTAGATGCTGAACCCTTTTCTCCGAGTCCGTCGCCCCCTGGAGGAAAGGAAGCCCTCTAGACGCACCTGAAAGCTCTGGCCCCTCTCCCCTCCCTGACTTGAGCCAGGCCCAGCAGCCTCACCACTCCCAGGTGCAGTCGCCCCAGCCCCTCCTCCTGCAGATCCAGCTGCTGCTTCAGCTCCTCTAACTGAGGAGAAACAAGGACAGAGTGGAGCACCTCCTTCCAGCCTCCCCCGTGCCCACTGCCTCCTGGGTTCCTCACCTGTCCAAGAATGAGCTCCTCCAGTTGCTGCCAAGCTCTCTGGTCCTCCTCCAGCTGCTGCCCCTGGACCTCACCCCTTGGTAAAGGCGAAGGGCTTTCTTCTTGGGCTGTGACTCCTGGGGTGAGGTGCACCCAGTTAGGACTCTGACTGAGGACTCTGGCCTGAAAGTGGGGGCACCTTGGGAGCTGGGCTTGGGACCCTGTACACCAGGCTGCTCAGGTTCTGGTAAGCTTCACTCCCTCCACACACTCCCCTTACAACTCACTACTTCTTACACACCAGCAGGAGTGGGGGGCTGTAACCCTGAGGCTGGCTGAGTTCCCTGGGGCAAGGCCTGTCTCCCCCTGGGGCTCCGAATCCATGCTAGAAGAGCCAAGAGCTGACCAGTCACCATCAACAGTGGGGGGACATCACCAGGCTGTGAAGGAGATAATCAGAATGCAGGAGACTGAAGGGGTCCAAGGGTGTGGAGGCCAAGACTGGGGAGAAAAGACGGGCTGCTGGAGAAGAATCCTTGGTCCTCTCCTCTCAGCCGGCTCACCTTGCTCAGATCGGTAGGATACCCGAAGCTCTCTTCCGCCCCCAGCTGGACTGAGAGGAACTCGGCAAGACGCACGAGAGCCTCTTCCAGGGAGACCTCAGCTGGGTGGCCCTCGGCTCCCCCGCCGGGCCCATCTTCTGACTCCGAGTTGCCTGCAAGCCAGGTAGTGGGAGGAGGAAGCGTGCTGGAGGCTAGGCCATCAGATGGCACCTGTCGGGTCTCCCAATGAGGTCACGGACACCTCTGGCCCCGAGGACGCAGCGCTCCGGACGCACGACAGCACCTACCGACCAGGCCGGTCAGCTCGGTCCACAGTTCTGCAGGGGGCTGGTCAGGGCGGCGGCGATCCCCGGGCTTGCAGCGGGCACTCTGAGGAGGGAGCAGGGGAAGCGCCTGAGAAGAGGCCGCAGCCTCCCTCTGAGAACTGGGCCAAAGGGGCTAGGGCTGAGGTCTCTGCTTGCAACACCTGAGCAGAGACGGGGTCCTCTGCACGGCCCTTCTCCGCAGTGTCAGCACCCTGGTAACCGACGCTGCGCGGGCCTGCACAATTCGCTCTCAGGAAGCAGGTCGCTGGCCGTGCCGCGTCCGCCCCCGCTCACCTGGGCGGGGTCCCCGGAGTCGGCAGTCGCCGCAGCCCCTCCATCCCTGCGGAAGAGGCTGTAGAAAATATAGATGAGCAACGAGTAGAAGGCGTACATGGGGGCGCGGGGCGGCAGAGGGCCCAGCTTCGCGCCGCCCCGCGTCCCGGCGCCCGGACTCCGCGCCCGCCCGCGGCACAGCCGGTGCGCATGCTCTGGGCGGCCGCCCCCACGGCCGGCTCCCGAGAGCGTAGGGCGCGCGCCCGAGGAAAGTTGCCAGAGACAGGTGTCCCTGGGCCCACACCCGAACACCTGCCCTGCGCCCCCACCCCTACTTCGCGGAGACCTCAGGCTGAGATTGCCCACAGCCCCGCACCCTCTTTTCTCGGAATCCCTCCCAGCCCCTCGCGGAGGCCCCCACTACTGTCGCCCCTTGGAGCCAGAGCTCACGGGTGTTCTACCTCTCCTCCCATTACAGTCCCTCCTATCACAGCCCCGCCCAGAAACCCTCCGCTGAGAACCCCGTCCCGCCCCCTACTCTTACAGCCCCGCCCAGCCCCACTTTTTACGGCCCTGCCCCTCTCCTCAGCCCTACCCATTCGTTTTCAGCCCCGCCCCGCCCCTTTTCTACCTGCCCCTCCCCTTACAGTCCCTTCCTCAGACTTCCCCCGCAATAGACCCTTCCGGAGGCCCCGCCCCTCACCCCAGATCCCTCACCACAGATCCCTCCAAGCCGCTGGGTAATACACTCCATCCTCGTAACAGGTTCTCCTTCCAGCCCCGCTCTCCTGTCTATCCCGTTCGCGTTCCTAGATTGTCCACTTCGCCTGGGCCCCGCCCCCCCGACACTCTAGCATCTTCTCCTCTCGTTGGTTCATGTCGGGCCTCCACAGCCCCGGCGCGGGATGCAGAACTGCAACCGGCCGCCGGCGCGGGTTGCGGGTTGCAGGTTCCAGGCTCCCGCTTGCTGCTAGCGTTGCGGTGCGCAGTTGTGCGGGCTCTGAGGGCCTGTGCTGTCTCTCCTCCTGGGCTGGGTTCGGAGGACGACGTCTCCCCGAACTCAGGGACCAGGCCGAGCGGGCCTGCGCGCGTCCCGCGCCACTCTCCCCTAGGCCCGGCGTCCCCACTTGGATTCCAGGGCTCACACCCGCCCAACCCCGGCTTCCCTCTGCTTTCTGTTTTCTTTTCCCAGCCAAAATAGGTTTTTCTTCCCTCACGGTGTCCAGTGGCCTCAGAGCTCCAGAAAGTTTCGGATGAGCCTATTCCAAAATTTAGAAATGAGGCTCTGGAAACGGGGTCTTTGAGAGCCGCCCTTAGGGCTCCAGGTCGCCGATCTCTGCGTTCCTTCTTCTCCAAAGTTGAGGAGCCCTTTCCTGTCTCTTCAAACTCACTACCACCTGAGGTGCCATGGCACCCAAGCCATGGGGTGAGTGGAGCATGGCCCTGTCCCACCTGGCGCTGGGAGTGGTGTCTCTGCATGCAGCCGTGAGCACTGCCCAGGTGAGTACACGGGGGCTGGGTAGTGTAGTGTCCCATTCCCAAACCCCAAAGAAGTAGGAAGTTCCTTCCATAGGGAGAGGGTAGTGGGAGGTGAGTCTGGGGTCCAGGCTTTCCGGTTTAAAGGAAGGTCCTGTTTAAAGGAAGGTCCTGGTCTCTTTTTCCCACATCTCCTCCCCTCCCTGTGTTGACAGGCAAGTCGAGGGGCTGCTGCTGGCTTCCTGCTCCAGGCCTTGACCGCTGCCACCATGCTTGCCTCAGGGCTGGGCACAGATGAAGATTGTCTGGCTGGAGCCTGGGTGGCCACTGTCATTGGCCTGCCCCTTCTGGCCTTCGATTTCCACTGGGTGAATGGGGACCACTCCTCTGCAAACCTGCTCCTGGGAGGAGGCATGGTGCTGGCAGTGGCTGGTGACCACCTTGGTGTAGAGGGCCGTTCTGTGGCTGGTCAGGCGGTGGTGCTGGTGGTGGCAGTAACCATTCTCATTGTGGCTGTTTTCACGACCAACACTTACGGAATGTGGGGGGGCTTGATGCTGGGTGCTGCAGGCCTCCTGGGCAGGCTGGAGGAGGACAGACTGCTGTTGCTGCCGAAGGAAGACGTCTGTCGCTGGGTCCTGACCGCAGGCTGTTGGGCCTACCATCGGGCCTTGCACACACAGCGCCTGCAGTGGGAGTGATGTTTGGAGATGGCAAGGCAGGGCTTCTGCCCTGGTTACCACCTTCCCTCCTGGGGCCTTCTTCCTTAGGGATAGACTCTCCTTTCTCCTAAAGTGGGCTTGCTGCAGGATGACTGGTCAGGGCGGGGTCTGGTCACTGTTACTCCACTAGTGGAGTGTGGGGACCTGCCTGGACTAGAATGAAGGGGATGGGGTCCAGGCACATTTGGGGGCCTGATTCTGGGCAGGCCATGGTTGTGGATCCAGAGAGAGGCTTGATCTCCAATAAACCTTAGGGATTCAGCAGGAATAAGGAATCTGCCCATTCTTGAAAGGGATTGAGCTTTCTAAGGTTCCCAGATCAGCAACTGGATTCCCTGAACAAAGGAAGGGGATGCACTGGAAGCAGCCTGGGGCCTCACTCAGCCTGGTCTCCTGCTAGCCCCTGGACTGAGAAGACATAATCCTGGGAGCTTGCTCTCCTGAGACATGATGGGAGTGCTGAATACCCTTGCACAGCCTGACAGGTGGCCCTCTGGGGCAGTGACCTTCATGGGCTGGCTGCTGGCTGGGGTGGTGACAAGAGGTCTGTACCACAGCTGTTCCCAGAAACGCACATCCTCTCCCGGGGCTGACTTGACCTCTACCTGTTTGTCTTTCGGCCTATGCAAGGCGAGAGTCCTGATTTCCTAATACCCTCACTTTTATCAGTGGGCCCCTCTTCAGCCCATGGGTTAGGAAACGGGATTGGGCAGAGCAGTGAGTTAGATTCGGGTCTAGAGTGCTCCCTCCGGCTGTTCCTGCGCTTGCGTCCAGTGAAAGCACATCTGGTTTCACACAGGAGGGAGAGGGGTAGCCGCGGGGTTTTTTGGTCGGGTGAGCCAGACCAAAGCCCCGCACACGCAAGCTAGCTCAAGTGTCGGGGGGCAAAGATGGGGGCACGCCCCGAAGTAAGGTTTCAAAGCTGCCCTCCGCGTCCCCAGTGGCCCCCAGAGTGTGGGCCGCACCTTGGACCCACCGGGAGCGCGGCACCGGTTCCCGGTACCCCTAGGTGTGCCCTCCGCTGGTCTCCCTCGGCCCCGCCCCCTGGGTGCCCAGTTTCTGCAGGGGCGGGTCCTCGTGCGCCCATTGGCTCTGGCCGCCTCACCGTCTAGCTTCGAGCAGGGCTCCCATTGGTCCGTGGGTGTCACGTGACCGGGAGACCCAGGGGGCGGTGGCGGCGGTGGGGGCGAAGGAGCGCGCAGCAAAAACAAAGATGGCGGCCGCTCGGGGGTCGGTGGCCGCGGCGGCTGCGGGGCGACGCGCGGGCCGTACCCACTGAGGCAGCGGCGCAAGGAGCGGGGCTACTGGGTCGCAGCGGCGGCGAGAGGGCGGCGGCAGCGCGCGGCGCCCCTAACCTCCAGCCGCGGGAGCGTGCCTGCACCCGCCCGCCGGGCCGGCCGGCAGTGATGTCCGGCGCAGAGGAGGCCGGCGGAGGCGGTCCGGCTACGGGGTCTGCCAGCGCCGTGCCGGCCGGGGCCGGGCCCGGGGCGGCCGCGGGACCGGCGGCGGCGCTAGGCGAGGCGGCTGGGCCCGGACTCCCGGACGAGGCGGGCCTGGCCGGCGCCCGGCAGCTGCAGGAGGCAGCCGGCGACCCCGACGCGCCGCCCAAGAAGCGGCTGCGGGCAGCCGAGGCAGCCGAGGCGGCGGCGGCGGCGGGCAGCGGGAAGCTGGAGGAGCGGCTCTACTCGGTTCTGTGCTGCACCGTCTGCCTGGACCTGCCCAAGGCCTCCGTGTACCAGGTAGGGCCGCTGGCCCGACCCCCACCCGGCCGGCGCCCCGGGCACCACGTCTCCTCCGAAGCGAGGCCCGAGCCCCAGGGCCCAGCGGTCGGGACTCGGGCGCCTGTTCGCAAGCTCCTCATACTTCTCTTCTCAGGACTTTATTTCCTGCTCCGAACCCTCTCCTTTCTTTTCCCACTCCCCTTATTTCCCGATTCGAATCTTTCTCCCACCTAGACGTTTCTTCTGTTTTCAGCTTCCCCTTCTGCCCCTTCCCTCCTCACACTCCCCGGCCCGCCCTCTGAAGCTGACTCCAGAGAAAGCTGGTGACAGATGTCCACGCGACCCCTCACCCCACTTCAGAGTTTGTTGCCCGCATTCCTGAGCCCCCTGGGTTCAGGGAGCCCCTGGCTTTACTTTCTACGCAAGAGCTTCTTTTCTGTTCTTTTAGCAGTCACCCCTTGCCTCCAAACCTGTCCTCAGGCTTCTCCTGCACCCCTTCTCTTCCTGAGGGGAAGAATCCCCTTGGCCCCTTTTCTTTCTGGAAGAACACTGAAAAGAGAGGGATCGCCTCTTTACCCTTCCCCACCCTTGTTCATGGTCTGGATGAACCACCTCCATCAAGCCCCATAGTCTGGGTCCCTTCCCCAGTCTGGGTCCCTTCCTAGCCTGATCCTGTGCTTCTGAACATGCTATGCCCCAGGGTAGGCTCCCCAGCCAGCCCGCCTCACCCACACCAGTCCTGGCTTCCTAGGCTACCCATGCTCTAGGTCCTAGAGTCTAAGAGGTCTGTTCACTCTCCTTTCATGGTGACTGTTTTCAGACTCTTTGACCAGTTCAGGGCGGTTCTAGATGGTACCTAGCCCGGGTGGGCATGGGCATGTACCACATAGCAGCAGGGACCATAGTCTGTCCCCAGAGTTAGTGTATAGTATCCTGCCTTCTTTGTCTTTTTCAATCTCAATCCCCTTTCCCACCTGTCTGTTCCTTCCCCCCAGAGTCCCTGTGGGGAATGAAACAGGTTCATTGTCACTTTTCTTTGCACTACAGGAGCAGGGCTTAGCTGATAGGACCTTGTCCTCCTGCTTTTACTCAAACTGGAGGCCATGGGTGAGAGGGCCATTTTCGTAGTAAGCAGTGGGGGGCTAGTCTGGGTTGCCATTTCCCCAACCTCTGGATCTCAAATCCTTTTTGCTGTGCCTTGAGGTTGCTTAGGAGGACCCTGGCATGCCGGTGATGGAA